TAAGTAATATTCTTTAACTATTGTACTCAAATTATTTTACTTCATTAATTTCAAAATATCCAGTAACTAACTAAGTGTAAATCTTATATGTAAAAAAGCTCAATATAAGTACAAAGGAAACAAAGATTTTTTTCATAAATCTTACATGTCACAGACTAAATTAAAATAAATATACGCATCTACCATATAAAAAATATAACAATAAACTTAAAACTTCAAATACACGCATCATGGTCTTCAACATTAGATAACAAAAACTTACTTCTTTTCTGCATCACTTGAAGCTTATGATTTAATAGTTAGCTCCTTCTTGATTTGTGATACTACATGCTATGCATTGGTTAAGTTTTTAATCAAAAGGTATATTGTTTATCTGATGCATGATGATGAGAATTAGCAAAGAATTTTATTTGTTTTCTCATGCTCTATAGCTATATATGGAGTTCCAAAATACTATTGTTAGTAAAAAAAAACTATAAGTGAGGCATCTTCTACTTCTTCAACTGCAAATATGAGATTTTTTTTTTTCATATTTGTTTTTTACTCTAAATTCCCTTCTCTTCTCATTCATCCAATCACTTACTTGTTTAGTTTCATACTTCTTTTTATCTTGAAAATACTTGTATTCAATATTCTTTCTTATTACATAATCAAGTTTATTTATATAACTAGTACATGAAAAAAAACTAACATTTACAAATGTCTCAAAGGCAGTCAAATATACCACATTATAAAGCTCAATTATAATAAAAAAAAAGTATCAACTTCAGATCAATCAACCTATCTCTTACTTAAACTCACATTCAATGGACTTTCAAAACAATTACATATAATTCACTCTAACAACAATATGAGACATTCCAAGGAAAAAGTATAAACTTTGATATTTTGTCACTTTTGAAGACAACTATAGATAACTTACCTTTAATACAAAAGTGTAAACTTTGACAAATTTTTTTTTTGTTTCTTCCCTGATATTTACATGTTTTGAGTTCTTCATCTAAGGGAAAAAAAAAGGTAAAAAAGAAAAATTTCAAAAATGAAAAGCATAACTTAAAAAAAAAAAAAACACCAATCGATGAAGCTAACTCTTTAACTAGTAAACTTAAATTCTTCTACTTCGTTAATTTCAAAATGCCCAATACCTGACTAAGTGTAAATATTATATATAAAAAAGTTCAACATAAGTACAAATGAAATAAAAAATTTTTGATAGATCTTATATGTCATATACCAAATCGAAATAATTATACACGTCTATCATATAAACAATAGAACGAACTCAAAACTCAAAATACACCCATCATGGTCCTCAACATTACATGACAAAAAACTATTTTCCTTCCGCATCACTTTAAGCTTATGATTTAATAGTTAGTTCCTTCATGATCTGTGATACTACATGTTGTGCGTTGCCTAAATTTTTCATCAGGGGGATATCTTGTTTATTTGATGCGTAATGAAAAATATTTATGAATAATTTTGTTTGTTTTCTCAGCTTTCAAAGCTGCGTATGGAGTTCCAAAAAGTTGTTGCTAGTCAAAAAACTATGGGTGGGGCACCTTTTTACTTCTTCAACTGCAAATATTAAATTTTTTTTTCATATTTGTCTTTAACTCATAAATACCCTTCCCTACTAATTCATCCAATTACTTGTTTCTTTTCATACTTCTTTTTGCCTTAAAAATGTTTATATTCAATATCATTTCATATCACATAATCTAAATTTATTTTTATGACTTTTACATGAAAAAAAAAATCGACATTTACAAATATCTCACAAGTAGTCAAATATAGTACAATTTAAAGGTTAATAATAATAAAAAAAAATATTAACTTCAAACCAATCACTTGATAAGTATAACAAAAGAATCAAATATACAATACCTAAAAACAAACAACATATACAACTTAATAAACTAAAATACACAATAAATAAAGGAAAATAATATATAATACAATTTATATTAACCTGAAAATTTAATATCCAAAGAGCTTCAAAAAACTCTGAGACAAAAAGAAAAAAAATCAATCGAAAACAAAATCATAACTTCATTCAAATAACATGAAAAGCAAAATACTCTTAAAAAAGCTACAAAATATGCACTGAAAAATTATGATTCTATAAAAAAAAATAATTACAGCACTAATAAAAAGAAGCATCATCGTCAAAGAAAATAACATCAAAATATGCAAAAAAAAAATCTTCCCAATAAAAACAGCTTCACAACAACATAGAAATCTCAAAACCAAAACATTCAAACCTCATTTAACAATCCAACTTTGTTAAACAAAATAAAAATGTATTACAACAAAATCATCCCAACAAAACTCAAAAAAAAAAATCATATTCAATTAAACAATGAAAAAAAGCTATAGATTTTACCAAAAAATGCTTGAAAAAAAAAGAAAAAAAAAAAAAGAAATGTACACCAGATAAGGCTCTCTTTCACACCAAACTTGCACTCTTTGAAGCACTAATAAAAATCCAAAAAATGAAACTTCAAAATTGGAGTTAAAACACACTTATCAAACATGAAACAATAAAAAGAAGACACATGTGACCTATCAAAGAAGTTTTTGTGTTTTTATCTTGGTCAAATATAAAAGTATTGTAAAACATCTCATTTGGTCCCACTCAAATGCCAAACAATTGTAAAAGAATAAAAAATATTACACATGTCAATGTAAATCCCTTGAGGGATATTTTTTATATACGAGAGTATTGATTTTTTTTTCTTTTAATGCTATGTTTTCCTGCATATAAAGATTTTAAAAATCACTATTAAATTTAAAAGTTGAAAGGTGTTTAGAGGCCTTTTTTTCTTATTTTCTTATGTGTTAATTTTTAAATTTGATAACCTAAGATATTATATGAAATAATATAAAATATATATAAAAATGATATAATTAAAAATTATAATAAAATCATATATAAATTTGATAAAAATAAAAATATATGTTTTATCTTAATACATTAATATGAATTTTAATATAATAATTTTTATATTTTATAAAAAATAAATATAATATAAATACATAATTTATTAAATCTAATTATTTGTAATTATAAGTCGCTGTCGAAATTGTTTAGGGCGACTTTTTTCTTTTTTTGTTCTTTGTTTTCTTTTCTTTTAAAGCCAACAAGATATTTGAACTTTTTTTTTCCTTCTTTTCCTCATGATAGGATATGAAAATTTTGGAGTTTTTTTTATTATTATTTCCTTCAGTAGCATGTTTAACAGTTCTCTAACTGCATTGTAAATTTAACACTTCCCTCACATATCAGAATAAAAAAGAATGATCAATTATCATGCTTTTTTATTCTTTAAACATAAGCAATTAGTTAAATAATAAATTCTGAATTGGGTTGAATCTCTATTTTTATCACATAATTTTTATATTTATAAGAAAGAGTACTAGGACTCACAATAAGTTAAAATTTCTATCCAAATTTTAGTTTATCCTTACCACTTTGTGGTTCATTGTATTTTAGTAATTTGATTAATGATAATAATTTCATGTCCCCTGTTTAAATAGTCGAATTTATTTTTTTTTATTCGCTATTGTATTTAAATTAAAAATATATATCATACTTCTTTGCTTCTTTTTTCCTATAATTTTTAATATACTTTATAACACCTCAATCATAAAATGGAGATGACTAACTAAATTTGAAATTAAAAACTTTACTGAAAAAAATCAAACTCAAACTCATTAAATTTTGAATGGACATAAAAATTTAATATTCAAAACTCAAAATGATTAAATTAAAAAAAATTTATTGAAATATGTAACAATCCAAATTTAATACTAAAAATTTAAATTAACTATTTCTAATAAAAATTTTAATTACTAATTTTATCCTAATCCAAATTCTAACAATCTAAATACAAACGACCTAAATCAAAACGATCTTAATATGAAATTAGGGTCACTTGAACCTACCGTTGCCACCTCCGTACATATTCATGGCACCCATACTTGTATTTCACTTAAGACAAGGCAGCATGGGATAGCATTGCGGCTGTGGTGGTCCATAGAACTGGCCATTGCCCAGCTTATAACTGTTTTAGAGATTAAGGGTGCATTTGGAGCATATGGTACCTCCAATGGGGTGCGATTTGTATGAAAATTTGTGTTAATTGTGTCAAGAATAGTCAAATGAATTATCAATGCGATACAATATGCGTCGGTTGTTCACCGGATTATTTAGCTCCAATTCAAAACTGATTTTTTTTTTTTCAAATTAATTCGTAACGATAAAAATGTCCTTACAATTTAATTTTTTACATCTTATATTTTATTTTTATTTTAAAATTATGAAATAATAAATAAATATATTATATTATATAATAAATTTTAATTATTTATTAATAAAATTATTATATAACATAAAAATAATTTAATAAATTTTTAATTATTAATTACTTCTATAAATATTAAACAATTTAAGTTTTTTATTATGTAAAATTTTTAATCAAATAACTTTAATAATAATTTTTTATTATAATTACTTTTACGTCCAATTATATATTTCAATATTAATTTTAATCTCATAATTATAATAATCAATTCCACTATCTATCCAAATAAATTTGAATGAATCACTGGGGTCGATGGCTTCAATTATAAAATGATGCTCAATTAAGATTAGCCGATTAGGAGGATTCAGGAGTGGCATCAGCAGCTGGTACACTGCAGCAAATTGTAATTCCAAACTTGTCGTGGTTTTGGAGTTCCATTCTTCCTTGGATGGTGGATCCTTTTTGAAGGAATAGGTTAGACAGAATATTGAAATTTCTTTTTTTATTGACATTCAGTATTATTGGGGATAACCTATAAGTAAATCATGAAGAAGCATTGTGCAATGATTCAAATGTTCTTGTTTCCTACATTATTTTGATCATTCGATTTCCAAGTCCATTCAATCAGGTAAAAAAGCTACAAAAGAAAATAACTGCCCAAAGGAGAGAATTTTCCTTAAACCATAGGAATACTTCAATGATCCACATCCAAGAAACAACAGCTTATACACAGCCTGGCTACACAAAAGATTAATCCTAAGCATGCAGCCAACCCCAGTCCCATTCTTGGAAAGAATACAACTGTGGAATTGAACCAGTACATAATCATCTGGCAAAATCCCTAAAATTTTTTAATAAAAGTTTCAGCTCGAAAAGAAAGTCAACCAGAAAAAGATGTCATTCAAAATCATCAGATGATTGCACATGGAGGGTGCTTGATGGAGAGTCATTTTCATCAGCTGCTACTTGAGCAGTATCCACTTTCCTCCTCTTGCTAGTTCTTTTTGGTTTTGGATTCTGCAAGTCATCTTTTGAATCAGCATTTTCACTGTTACCTCCTGCATTTTCCTCCAATCCATCCACCTGCTCCGCACACGACTCTTCCACAGGGTCCTGATTCTCGCCATTCTTTTCTTTCAGTGACTCAATCACATCCATCAATTCTCGGTTGACCTAAGAAATTAATTCCATAAATTTAAACTATATTTATGTCGGCGATGAACAAATTATGCTGAGAATAAACTAAAGAATGTGTTTGTGAACCACTTTACTAACTGAAGATATGCTACAAATGTCCAGCAAGTAACCTCATAACCTATTTTTCAAGCATTTTAGAGTTGGCGTTAATTTATTTTCCTTCCTCAAAGGAAAGTACAACACATTCTGCGTTCTCAAAATTAGGCAAAAGGAAAAGTAAATTCACGCCATACCTGAAGATTTTGAAGAAAATCTGAGATATCAGTTGGGCAAGAAGGGCACTGCAGCACATTCTTTTGTGATCTAAGTGTCCGGCCACCTTTGTTCCTTTCTCTTATAGCAGTCTTACCTGCAAATGCAGCTTCAAAACAAGACTTGCAGAAGTTGTGGGCACAAGGAGTTGTAACGGGGAGATTCATAACTTGCCGACAGATTAGACAACCAAACTCTGCATATAAAGCATACCGAGTCAGAACAAAAAGCTCCTTTTTTTTTCTCGGGGAGGGGGGGGGGGTAGTGATGCTGAATTGCATTATGAATTGATAGAATTGTGGGTTCTCTCCCTCTCTCTCTTCTCTGTTTTTCTTATGACCCTGTGATTGCTCTATCTCCCTATTGTGCCTTCTTTCTCGGTTCCTCTCATTGCTCCTGTCTCTTTCTCATGCCAGTTAAAAGATAAATACAGAAGACCATCAAATATAAACACAGCCTTTTTTTTTCAGGGCTAAATTACCTTTAAACTAAAACAAGCCATGTAATTTTTTTCAAAAGTTTTAATTCATTAAAATCTAAAATCATGCGTAGTAACTTGAGTGGAACTCCATTATCTTCAGTCACCCTACCAACTTAACCTAAGTATAAATGCACATCAATAGATTATTCTAGTTACAAGCAAACTTAAGACATGCAGACAAGTGCCAGAAAACCAAACGCAGACATTCATGACAGGAAAATGAGAACCTTTCAGGAGTCTCTCTCTTATACTTGTATTATGGGCTTGCCTTATTGCTTTCCTTGCCTTTTTCCTTTCTTCATGATCAGCTGCATTCACTGGCTTTTTGCTAGGAGGTGGAGGTTTTTTCCACTTCCAGCGACTGTCTTCTTCCTGATTGAATGAAGAATTAGATAAGCATAGCAGAAACATAAAGTCTATGGGAAGAGGGACCAGATTGTAGGTGATATAAAAAAATCAGCCTCCAAAAGAGAGGTGTTTCACTATTTAACTTCACTAGTAAAAAAATTTGTTTTATGAATATATTTTTCTAGTTTTAAATGGCATAATCAGTTCTCCAATACAATATGCATTCATAACAATGTTTGTCATAGATTGAATTCTATCTAGCAGATGAAACCTTACTAAAAACAGAAAATGAGAATATAGAAATCTGAATAGAAACGGCATGTCTTACATCAAAGTCCCATGATGGACCTTCCTTTCTCTCTAATATGTCAGTTGCCTTCTTCAGCTCAGGAATAGCTGGTAAAGGCCTAGGTCTATCCCCATGCTCATCACTAAATTAAAGTTCAAGAAAGCTTAGTGGAGCTAAAGAAGAGAGGAAGGCAGGAGACCAGACCATTTAAGTATACAAATCGTACAAACCTTGTCCATGGGGCTGGCTCATTGTCACATCTCACAAACAAATATCGGCAAACTTTAAATCCCTAATAGAGGAAAATCCATCAGCAAATTAATTTACAAAAGTCCAACATAGAAGGTAACTTTGATGTGTCTGATAGAAATATGATACCTGTATTCCAACCTTTCGCCAACATTTTTCAATTCCATAGACTCCATCATATCTCACCCCTTTCTCTGGGGCATATGAAGATCGTTTTTCTTTGTGCGACCTACATATCAAGAGAAACAAAAGCTTTTACCAAGTAAAATAGCATCATTAGAGTAAGCCCCTATGACAGGATGTCGCCTCAACAAACAAACAGCTAACATAGAGTGACTTGGCACAACCAGGAAAAAAACCATGGCCTCCAGAACCATAAAACTAAAATGCCAACCTATTGAAGTTCCAGTTTCCCTTTTTGCACATGCATAGAAAACCAGTTACAAAAACAAAGAGAGTCAAGCTTCAAGGAATGAGACTTGCCTTACAACTCGAACAGGATAACCCATTTTGCAGCTTACTCGCAAGGCCTCATTCATCTTCTCAAATTTTTGATCAAATGACTGTTCCTTGTTTGTTCGCTTATTTCCACTAAGATCTCTACCTCCACTGCCATTGACACCCACAGCAACAAACAATTGTCAAACGCTCACATGAATAAATGTCAATAGATAGACTTCTTCAGCTTACGAGAAAGATAATAATTATTGAAAGCAATATTGATTAATGTCAGCATGATACATGTGCAGTAAAAGAGAATCCGTAAGTTCTTCTCACACCCAAAAACTAACAACTAAAACATATAGCATGTTCACTGAAACATCAACTAGTTTATCTACCATACTTTCTATCATCATACTCATTAGTTACATTACGGACTGCAATCTTAAGGGTGACAATCAAACATTGGGATGTTTGGAAGGAAAAGGATATTTTAATAACCTATGACTATTGTTTAATAAAGCATTATATGGTAACAAAGCATCAACATCAACTGGATGAAACAGCCATCAATCTACTTTCATTTTATAAGCAAGTGCAATGAAAATGATGAAGTTGCATACTACTAATATGAATAGCCCTCTGAAACAAACCTTCCTGTGTAGAGAAACCACTCTCCATGATCCTCATCATCCTCATAACCTCCTGAGAGTGCCACTGATTGAGCACCATAGTTTGACTGACCAGCAATGCCTGCAACATGCGGAAGGTGAGCACCCCATTGCCGGCATTCCAATCTGTCTTCCCAACATTCACCAACAAGCACACCCTGATTTCTAGCTGGATCATTTTCAGCTGGGATTGGTCCAAAATGATCGGGTGGTACAGTCACAAATATCTTCCCACTGGCAGCATTTGCTTTCCCAGCTTTTTGTGCTCGCTCCGTAGTGAAAGCCTTGTCAGGTCGATCTTGGTTGTGCATAAAATGGTATACTTTCAGAGGCCCAGCAGCAAAATTTGATTTTGATAGCTTTGCCATTCTGATAACAGACACAAGCGTAGAATTAATACGAGGCTGGCTTGCCATTTTCGGGGGAATTGTTGACCGGCATTTTGCACAAGTACGCTTTCCTTGGCCTATCCATTTCTGGAAGCATTTAAGGCAAAAATTGTGGCCACAGGGTGTCTGAAACAACATGAATAAGACATATATCGTGATTCAACAAGCATAAACATGTAACCATTTCACCCTTGAGGGAAAGATTAACTGCCTAGCCCATTAAAATAAATTAAACCTCTGCCCAACTTTGAATATGGAACCAAATCAGCTTATTCCAATGGCTATTTAGATGTCACCCTTAAAGGATGTAATAATCTACTCAAATTGCGTAACAACCACATTTAATTGTACACTTACAGACAAGTTGAAACTAAATAGTCAAAACATAGCAAGAAATGAAACTTGAAACAGTAGCATCAATTACTTTGGAAAACTAGATTGCCATTTAGAGTTCTAAAATAAGATTAAGTTGAAAAATAATTCAGTTTGTTCAAGAATAAATGTAGATAAGCTAACATCTAAGATTCTATTTGTATATAATACACTTTTTACTCTTTAATTTTTTTAAAACAAAAAATAAGTAATCAAAATAACAACTAAACAAGGCTTAAACGTTAACATTTATCTGCACAACAAAGAAAAAAAAACAAAGAAAGAGAGAAAACGAACCGTAACAGGCCTGTCAGGTAACTGCATGCAAAACGAACAGTTTAAGCTTCCATCAAGAACATCCAAAACAGAGCTCTCCTCTTTTCCTTTCCCTTTCTTATCTTTATCTCCATCAGCTTCAACTCTCCCACTCACCAGCTCCTGCCTCTTCCTCGCCTTCTCCTTTTCAGTCAACGACTCATCCGCCTCTATCGCCTTTATCGCCGCAAATAGCTCGGTAGAGGTTCCATCTACGGCGGCCGCGGCTGGGGGAAGAGGGTCGCCGGAGCAGTCAGGACAGTGCCATTGCAATGTAGAAGCTAGGGTTTCGGGCGGAGAAGCCAAGCAGGCCACGTGCCAAGGAGTGGCGCACGTGCTGCAACTGAGGGTTTCCTCGGTCGGAGGGGTAACCTTGCAGCGCATGCACGCGCCGTCGCCACCGCAGGGAAGCTGGATGCTATCGTGCGCCATCCACAACAAACAATGAGCTTTAATGCACACTATAAGAGACGTTGGATTTGGTGACGGGATTTTGAAAGGAATATAAAGAGACGGAGATTGGGGAGAGAGGGAAAATATGGAGTGCGAAAGGCGGGTTTCTGAAAAGGATTTTGAGAGGCTTTTGAATTTCAAACGAGGAGGGGAGAAGGAACTAAATAAGAATTGACGATATTGTCCTAGTTGACTCCATTATTTTACGTTGCTGCCATTTTATACTCGTTTGGTTTTTGCTCTAGAAACGATTTATTGCAGGGGATTAAAGAAGGGGTTTGCTTTGGAATAAATATGAACATCTTCCGATTTGACTTCCGGTGCTGTCCCCATTTTTCAGTTTCCCTCTCAATGTCTAAAAATCTGGCTGTAGTATTTTATTTCGTATCACTGATTTTTTTTTTACAGAATTTATAAATTCACTTTTATTTAATTTTTTTAATATACTTACCATATAAAAAAAGTAATTTTTCTCTTTAAATATTATCAAGGAAACAAATTTTAAAATATTTATAATTTGCACAGTTTAGAAAAAAAATGGAAAATATGCTGTTTACAAATTGAAAACTATTTTAAAAATTATAGCTTCAAATATTTCAAATCATATTTTTAATATTTAAGACGCTTATGATATTTGCGTTAAAAACTTAAATATAAGTAATAAAAGTTATTATTGAAATTTAGAAATTAAAGAATATTATTCAATACATTAAAAATTTACACAAAGTTGACCTTAATATCCATTTTATCTTATATAAATATATAAAAATAAAAATCTCTAATAAAAAATAATTTCATGTAAATAGTTTATATTTTGACATGTGGATAATTTAAAATTTTGACATGTATTCATAATTAATTATGCATTTCAAATTTAAAATTTAGAATTTAATGATAAAATAAATTTAATTTCAAATATTTTATTTTTGTTATTCAACACATTCAATGGCTTTTATTAATACTTAAGAAAATAACTTTATTTATTTTTAATGACTAATTGATTAAAATAAATTAAGAACCAAATCAAGAGTAATAGTATTTTAAATTAAGAGTAATTTATACTTAACAATTACAATTGTCAAGTATAATGTATATTCAATATGCTTAAGAGAAATGAAAAAAGAGCTTTTGAAATTAGTGTAATAATGATAATTAAATTAATTTCATTTGACATACTAAAATTAATTTTAATTGATTTGATCATCTATTAATCATTTTAAAATAAATATATTAAATATATGTACATATGTATGATTTAAAAGGTGGAGCCAATAGGTTATTTTTTAAAAAAATTGGAAAGTATATTTTTTAATAAATATAATTCAAGAGTTAAATATTTATAATTGAAAAAATATAAAATTATTTTATTTATTAATAATGGCAATCAAAGTTTTAATACCTTTTCATATGAATTTAATGAGAGTAATTTAAGGTAAATAATAAAAATATGTAATCAATTTAGTTTTTGGAATTATTTTTTAAATTATAAATGTAATAAAATAAAATACAGAGGAAATATGACATTTTTTAAAACATTCTACATGTCAATAATATAGACCACTCACATTAAATATTTTCCTTTTTTACCATAGACTTTGTCTTTTATATAAGATATAACATTTTAAAATGAGTCTAAATTTAAATTATTATTGAAAACAATTTTAAATTTTATAAATTGTATTTCAATATTACAATATTACATTAAATGAAAAACTTTCAACATGTGAGAAAATAATTTGGATTACTTTCAATTAATTAATCCATATAAAAAAATATATTTTAAAAACTTATTACCTGTCAATTATTTAATATTCCAACAAAAATTTATAATATACGGAAACTATATAATCATTAAAATAATTATTAATTTTATTACTTTATTTTAAAAAATTTCACCTATCATTAAATTAATATCACCTAATATTGATTTGATTTTTATATTATGTAATCTTTTATATTTATAAATTAGCATTAAATATAATTTAGAAATAACCAACAACTATATAAATTATTAGTAGAATGTTGAACTTTTAGTTCAGTGATTATAATTAAAATTCTAAAAATCTCAAATACTAAAAAAAAAATCTAAAAATATCTATTAAAATGCATCACCATAGAAAAAGGAAAACGTAGTCAATGAACAAATATGAGCTTTCTGATAAAATTTTTTAAATTGATTATTTAATGGTTAATTGACAAAAATAAATATTATGATTGCAATCAAATTATTTGGTCTTTAATGTAAAACAATAAAATTTAAAATTAATTTTAACATATATTTTTTAGATTATAAATTTTTATCGTTTTTTGTATGATAAATTCGTAAAAAATTAAAATAATTGATTTTAGAATAAGTGATTGTCAAAAAACATTATTGTTACGCTTGAAAATATGAAATTAAGAAAGTAATTTTATATTTTTTTTGTCATATAAATTGTAAGAATAAATGTACGTAGTATACACAAATTAATAAAATTTAATATGATTATTGATTTAATTTGAAAGATATAAAAAGGAATTTTAAATTCATAAATACATGTAAATGCTTCAAACTACCTACTAAATAGGCATCCAACAAATCCTTAAATTTGAAAAATAATCATGAAATAATGTTTATATTGATATGTGTGCTTTAACATACATTTTACACTAATTTTAAAATTCAAATATCTTTTTTAAAATTTAAGTTACTAAACATAATCTATAAGTTATAGAAAAAATAAAATAAAAATGCTCTCCAATTTTAAATACAATTATTAAGAAGATTTTTTTATACTTTGATTTCAAATTAAAATAACCACAACATATAACTTTAGAATTAAAAAAATTAATTTTTTTAGAGATTTAATTAATTAAAATAATTTTATAAAAAATAAAACTCATCAAAAACTAGTGTTAATAAAACCAATTATTTTTATTCATATTATCTAATTTTAAAACCAATTATTTTTATTCATATTATCTAATTTAATTATTAGGTGATTAATATATTTATTAAAGTGGTTGGTATTCGTTGTCACATATCACTCTAATAATTATTTTTAATATATTTTTAAATAATAATATAAATTGAATATATAATAAATATTTAAAATTGATAAAATCCATTTTAACTTGTAAAATTTTGTTTTATGTGCAAAATATATCAAAGTAACATAGAGTTTATTACTTTTAATGTTAGTGTAAAACTATAACTTTAAAAAAAATTATTATTATTATTGATTAAATATACAATCTTTTATATTGCACAGATTTTTTAAATTAATAAAGTGTATGTTTACCTATAAGGTTTGTTCCATGTTAATTAAAATAAAATTTATTACTTTAACATTATTGTAAAATTAAAATTATGAAAAAACAAATGTAACTTTTACCTCATTTTTAATTATTAAATAAATTTATTTAATGAAAATCATTATATGAAAATATAGTTCTTATTTGTAAATTGGATATATCTTATTATTATTTATAATAAAAATTAAAATGGTAATTTGGAAATATAATGAACATCAATGTTCATTTTCTTCATTTCAATATTTTTCCAATATTCGTATTTTTATAAATATTAGTTTTTTGTCATCACATATATTGCATGAGAATATTTGCTTTTTATTTATATTTAGCCTTATTGTATATGGATTTAATTGTTTAATTATGTTATAATTTGTTTGTTAATTATTGAATAATTATAATTTAATTATGATATAATAATTAATTATTTAATTGATTGTATAAATGTAACTTATTTATTAGAGTGTAACTTAAAAAAAAAAAATTAACTGATATATAATCGGTTGGTCAAATTATGTCAATAATCTATATATTTTATCAAAATTTAAAATTTAATTCTTCTATTATAATTCACGAAAATTTAGTGATCGTATTATTTTCTTTGAATAATACCAATCAATCATTAATGGTGTTAAATTTTTAGTATTAAAAATATTGACTTATGCCCTTTGTGGACGACATTGCAACCCAACGGTGGTGCAATTGTAATAAATGGTATGCCCATTGAGATTTGTTTATCCAAATGCGTTAGTAGCATGATTGATGACTGGTCAGTTATCAATTGGCCATTTTGATCGGCCAATAGAGATTTTGTTTTTTTTTTTTTTTCATTTTTTATCTTTAATTTCATTATTGTATAAAAAATATTATTATAATTTTATTTTATTTACAAATTATAAAATAACTTTATTAATTTAATATAGTGAATAAAATTTATTATTTAAAATAGTAATAAATAATTTGAATAAATTTTATTATTTATTAATAAAATTTAAATAATAAAAAAATTTATAAATTTAAATAATTTAAATTTTTATTGTATACAACTTTTAATTTAATATCATTAATGATCATTTTTTCTTAATTATAATTTATCTTATTACCATAATTATTTTTACATCCAAACATATATCCCATCACAAATTTTAATTTCACCTCCATCATTATTTTTAATCTCACAAAAATAATTTCGTCAGTTATCTAAATGAATCCTTAGCCATTGACTTGATAACTTAACTGTTAACTTTTATAACATGACATTTTAATTGGTTTATATTGTTGCATGTGATGATGTGAATTAAATGACACAACATATGGTATGATTTTTACTCCACATCATCTTAAACCTTTTAAGTTCTTGTTTTCCAAAAACCATAATAATTAAACTTTATATTTTTCTAAGAGTAAATAGTACTCGTGGTCTCAAAATTTTGAGTCAAATTTTATTTTGATCTCTAAATTTTAAAAAATTTTTAATTAAGTCTTCAATTACCCAAATATGTACTAACGTAGTCTTTTCGTCTATGAAACTGTTTAAATTGAAGATAAATGTCAGTTGGCATCACGTGATGACGTTAGAAAGTATCTTACATAGCAGATGAATGTATCAAAATAAAATTCTCTCAAAGTTTAAGGATTAAAATAAATTTTTTTAAAAATTAAGGACCAAAAGTGAAATTATCTCAAAATTTTATATATATATATATATATTATAAAATATTAAATTTAAAATTATGCTTTTATATTTTTATTGTAATATAATTTATTAGTTATAATTTTGTTTTTCATAGAAAATAGTTTTTTTAAATTAAAATAAGTTAAAAATTCAATATCATTATAAAAACAAAAACAAAATTTCTATTAAAAATATTATTTTACT